CTGATCTGGAATCAGCCGTATGTTTACCTGTGTGTGTAAGTGACACACAATAACATCAGAGCACACACTGACCTCTGCTCAGCAGCTGATAAGTGCTTGTTCTGCGAGCCACTGAAAACACACCGGCTGCTGCGAACCGATAAAATCCCTCTTGTTTTCAGAAGCTCGACGGAGAGGACGGCAGACAGCATCACGTCACTGAGAGTTTGACTGAAACATCTGAACCGTGTCAGTCGGTCAGACAGGTAAGATCACAAAAACAGCATTTGTTCACATCTCACATCACATTCACATCTGCGGTCCACACAGATCAGTTACTGAATCCAGCCATGAGCTCGTTAACATATGACTGCCTCATTTCTGGAGGACTTCACATGTGGAAGTGAAAAAATGAAGACATGAAAAATACAAGAAATATATTACTCTAGTAATATAACTAATGTACTACGAACTAATTGTTATGTAAATATTTAACTACTATATTTCAGTATTTAATCACATTTTACAAATAGTATTTTATGAAATATGCCATTATTTCATAGTACAATAGTAATATTTAATAATAATAATCATATTATTATTATTATTAATGTGTTATGAAAAACAATTTTTTATTAAAGTAACACTTTATATTTTATTTTACAAATAACATTTTGTGAAATATTCAATTTATTTCATAGTACAGCAGTACGTTTTAATAATAACAACAACAACAACGATTATTATTATTAATGTACTATGAAATAAAACAGAATATTACAAATATATTTAAATTTTTTATTTTCATTCAATAACACTATATATTTTAATATACAAACAACATTTTATGAAATTAAATTTTAGAGTATTCAATTCATAGACTAGTCTTTTTTTATTATTAATAATAATAATAATGTATTATTATTAATGTACTATGAAATAAAAATTAAATACTAATTTCAATATTTCATATTATATTTATTTTAATTAAAAATAAATATTAAAACAACACTTAATTTTTTTTATTCTATTTACTTTATTAAACAAATAATGTTTTATGAAATATTCAATTTACTTTACAGTACAGTAGTAATATTGGATAATAATAATAAGTATGATTAAATATTAGAATATTAATTTATTTGTTTACAGTACAATAGTAACATTTGTCTAATCTGTACAAATATCATTATTATAATAATACCAATAGCTAATTTTTTTTAAAGTATAATCCGTCTGATGTAAACGTGCAGTGATTACAGGACGTCTCTCACAGCACGATCTCGTAAAGGTCTGTTTTGTCGGTCTCTGGACGTCCATTAGCTGGATCCGGTGCACTCAGACACAGGCTTGCCAATTCTTCTCAATTTTCCTGAAGGATCTGGTGTATCAAACCCATTTGTCTGAGTGCACTGAGTCACAGAGAGACACTTTCAATTCAGCCAATGTGTGCTGATAGACTGCAGATGAGCTACTCAACTCTCACAAACAGAGCCAATCTCAAACACACGTAATCTCATAGCCCGGGAAAATGTGAAAACTGGACCAAAACACACCTGACAGCACAGGCCAAACACATCTGTCTGATGCACGTACAGACGACAACAATTAATAAATGGTGGAGATGCAATGCAGTGGCTAAACCATCTGTCTCCGGTAGTGCGGTGATCAATTTGAATATACATCTGGGTTTTACTGTGCAAACTTTCTATAACGGCACAATGTCGACAAGCTGAACAAAGCATACACAGAGATAAAAAAAACCGTGAAGCTCACTAATCGACAACTACAGACTGATAGAGTAACATGAATATTATGATATTGTGAGTGTCTGTGTTTGTGCATGAAAGACGAGACAGAGAGAAACTAAGTGCAAAGTTTCTGTCTAATTCATAAATATTATCATTTTTAATGTCATTCCTGAACTTAAATAAAGAATCATGATTAATGATCATCAACCGTGAGAACCGTCATTAACATATGACTACTATTTCAGTTTAGCACTTAATTGGATTACAAAAACTGCACTTCCTTATTTGTATAATAATTATTTGTATTTTATTTTGTAATATTTTTTCACACTTAATCATTTTATTTGGTGACATTTCTATATATATATATCAAATATATAATGCCAATATATATATATATATATATATATATATATATATATTGCAGTACAAAATAAACTAATATAAAGGCAATTAACTAAATTCACACAAATAAACTTACATTGTACTTCCCATGAAGCCCATTTTTGCCACATTTAGTGCTTAATCAGTGCATGTATTCATGTGTCATTAAGCAAGCAAACGTCTTTAGTAAATTATTTGTATATAATTAACCAGGATGTGGTGTGTTTGTGTGGAATCTGTGCAAACGGATGTGTTTTTGGATGAAGGCAGAGGTCAGTGACCTTGCCACAGATCTTAGCGTTGGGTGTCCGCTAGCCATCGGACCTGACCTCCGTGTTTGTGTGTGTGTGTG